CTGCTTCTATTTCTTACTGTTCTGTAGGAAATCCATTTCTCATCAATTAGATATAGTTATCCAGTCCAAAAGCTGCAGTTTCTTCACCCCAGTGTGTCCTTTATCCCTGCATTTAAATCCAGCAATAAAAGTTTCTGGTTTAATTTAAATCTATTTGTAACTCAGAACTTCCAGAGTATTTAGTATTAGAAACACAGCTTTTATTGTTTCCATTTTGCATCAAATGTACTTCAGATTGCAACTTCCTTTGTTTTTCCCTTTTTTTCCTTTTTTTTCTTTGAGGAATGTGACCGTGGTAACTTTTCAGTCCCGATAAATCCCAGTTTTACCCAAGACAGAGTTCAGTGGCTCAGACTTAGTTATTAGTTAATCCTACGCTTCTGGATTGAATACCATAATCTTCTGTATTTTGTGTATAGATATTAAGTTAATAGGTTAAGTAAGACAAGAAGTTAAATAATTGTAGTTGTGTATTTTAACCATGTTTTGTGATCATTTCAGCGCCTGCGAATTCTATACACAAAAATACTTGGTGTCCTGCAAAACATTCCCAAAGATGCAGCATATAGGAAATATACTGAGCAGATTATAAATGAGCGATTTGATTTGGTGAAAAAGGTAAGTACAGTGCTGTTTCATTAATGTTGCACATGAAAAAATGTGTAGGATGAGAAGAATGATTGTCAAAAGGCCTGGCTGTTTTTCAGAAGCACACGTAACTTTCAGGTATTAGTTCAGAAATAACTGAAGTATCAAGGTTTATTTCTGTGATATTTTTATGACATCTTAAAACCAATTGTTAATTTTCTACTGATGTTCTGTAAAAATTAGAAGAAAACGTAGGGTTTTTTAAGATTTGTAGAAAAGTGGTAATTTTTACACACTTGCGCTGAAAAATTCATGTGCTCTTACCAGTGTAGTATCTTAGTACAATCCTTGCCTTCAATATTTTAAAACACTTTTTGATACATTAAACTATGCAATACTGGTGTATTTAAGGTGGTAGTTGAAAGTTTGCATGTAATTCTATAAAACTCTAAGAACAAGACTTTTTTTCAAGGTGTATACTAAAGCCCTTACCTGCTAATACTTCTTTGCGTGTCACTAAATAGTATTGATTCTTTGTATTTACCATCTAGAGTTTGATGTTTGTTTTTCAATAACAAATGAGTGTGAGATTTCTTTGATAATGTAAAATGATAGAAGCCAGCTAATTTGATGGTAGCTCTGAGGAAGACTGGAAGACTGGTTAAACTACTGTTTTCATGCTTCATATAGGCTTTCTGCTTCTGAGTAAAACATTTGTTTATATGTATGTTTATATGTATTTGAATACACAGGAGAGTGATGTGCAAAAACTACAGGACAAACTGAACAGTGGTCGCATAGAAGAAGTCATTGTACAGGTAAAACAGGAAATCTTAAGATGAAGTACAAAGGGAGAAGTGGTTTTCAGTGTTCCTTTGGCTGAACTTCTGTTTAGGAAAGTGGCAGTTTTGCATATCTTCCTTTACTGCAAAACAATCAAACAGAAAAAGAAATTGAAAACAAATTGTCATATGGTGATTGGGATGACTGTGCTAAAGCCTAACACAGTTAACAGTTGTTTCTTGTATTATGCTTACAGATATACATGTATACCTACATTGCTTCTTACAGAGTCTAAATCAGTGGAAAGGGCAGAAGAGGATTGAATAATATTGGGGCATAATCCAAATAGACTGGAAAATATCATGAAGTTGTCATTGGGAATGTCTAGGTGAACAGACTGTCTGTTTGGGTATTGGGGGGGATTCAATTTTTTTTTTAAAAACAAACCCCCAAAACATACAGTTTCTTTTGATATTTATAGGTGAAATTTGTGGTAGTCTATGATCATGATAGATAGTGACATCACTGAGACAATGAACTGAAATGGAGCTAATTTAATACTTTGTCAACTGTATAGAATTTAAGAATTTGTTTATGGTGTTTATTAACAGGCTGAAAATGAGCTTTCCCTGGCAAGAAAAATGATGCAGTGGAAACCGTGGGAGCCTCTAGTTGAAGAACCTCCTTCTGACCAGTGGAGATGGCCAATATAATTTTCAAAATGGTGTAACCTCTGTAAAAGCAAAACTTAATTATTAATCTATTGTTACTGACAGTTGTCTTTAAATTAAAGATAATCACTTCATTAAAATATATTTTGTCCTAAAGTCCACTTTTATTTAGCAGTCTAAACACTGCTTCCAATTTCTTGCAAATACAGTTTTAAGAAAATTGTTTTGGCAGTTCTGCAACCTTTGGTTTATTTACTTTTTTTAGTTTCTATTAACAGAGTATTTCTGCCTCGCTCTTGAGTTATTTTTATAATTCCTGTCCTGAACTGGCTGATTTTGCTGCCTACATAGCTAAACACTATTTCTGACTTCTGGGAAGTGCTGGAAAGAACCAAGATTGGAGAGGTGAGGGGGAGAAAGAAGATGACTCCGCGCAGCAACAGGTTTCTTGGCTAGCAGGTAGGTTACCATACTTGGCATAACACCTGTGGCATAAGCTCTGGTATTGGAATCCTACAAAGGCTTTGTGTAGACATGTATATTTGTATTTTATTGATTCAGATCTTGAGTGTTAAGTGTTAGAGTAAATGGGGAAACATCAGGCTGGCGACGTGTCACTAGTGGGGTTCTGCAGGGCTCCATCTTAGGCCCTGTGCTCTTCAGCATCTTCATGAATGACTTGGATAGAGGATTTGAAGGGATACTAAGTAAGTTTGCCGATGATGCTAAATTGGAAGGATCTGTTGACTCCTTCGAAGGCAGAGAGGCCCTGCAGAGAGACATCGACAAATTAGAGGGCTGGGCAACCACCAACCGTATGAAATTCAACAAGGGAAAGTGCTGGATTCTGCACCTGGGATGGGGCAACCTTGGATGTACATACAGGCTGGGGAATGAGATGCTGGAAAGCAGTGCCGGGAAAGGGACCCAGGGGTCCTGGTAAATGGCAAGTTGAATATGAGTCAGCAGTGCCCTGGCAGCCAGGAGGGCCAACCGTGTCCTGGGGAGCATCAAGCATCGCCAGCTGGTCGAGGGAGTGGATTGTCCTGCTCTGCTCTGCTCTGCACTGGTGAGGCCTCACCTTGAGTATTGTGTGCAGTTTTGGTCATGGCAATGTAAGAAAGATATTAAGGTATTAGAGAGTGTCCAAAGGAAGGCAACAAAGATGGTGAAGGGAAGGCCTTGAGGGGAAGCCATGTGAGGAGCAGCTGAGGTCACTTGGTCTGTTCAGTCTGGAGAAGAGGAGGCTGAGGGGAGACTTCATTGCAGTCACAACTTCGCTGTGAGGGAAGGAGGGGCAGACACTGCTCTCTTCTCTCTGGTGACCAGTGACAGGACCCGAAGCAATGGCCTGAAGTTGTGTCAGGGGAGGTTTAGGTTGGATATTAGAAAGAGGTTCTGGAACACTGGAAGGTTCTGGGCACTGGAACAGGCTCCCCAGGGAAGTGGTCACAGCACCAACCATGACAGAGTTCAAGAAATGTTTGGACGATACTCTCAGGCACCTGGTGTGACTCTTGGGGATGGTCCCATGCAGGGCCTGGAGTTGGACTCGATGATCCTTATGAGTCCCTTCCAATTCAGCACAGTCTGTGATGCTGTCGTTCTGTCATATTCTGGACAAATTTTTCTTTATAATTCCTTTGTCCTGCTGTTGAGCTCCTCTTTTCCATAACTGGTAAGCAAACTGCTCACACTGAGTTTCAGAATACCATTGAGTTCTCCCTGAAACCCTGTCCTTTAATAAAACATGTAGTACCTCCAATCTGTAACTGAAGCAAAGTGATTGATATGGTTTATATCAAAATTCAGGGTTTTTGGTTCCCCACTTCTGTGTGTTCTTTGGGATTACATAAGAAAGAACTGGGGTTTCTTTCCAAGGCACAGAGACTCTCTTATCAAAATGATGGTCTTTGAAAGTTTCTGCATTTTTTTTATTAGATAATTCCTGCATTTTCCCCCTTTCTCTGATGGTCCAACCCGATGATCTCTCTTCTGATTACACTAGTCAACCACAGCACAAATTGTTTTGTGTCAGGCAATATTTTAGCTCAGTTACTATAGTTCAAACAATAGTTCTGATTGTCTGTTTAAACAGACCAAGCATTGGGTATCCTTGCCACATCCTAATATATAAAGTATAAAAGAGTAGGCATTGTTGATGAAAATGTTCATGAAATCAATCCTGAAGTGATACTGTAGGAAGTTCCTGGAATTGTCAAACCCTGTTTCAATACATAATTTATTTTAAAATATAACGAAGCCAAGAACTAAGAAGTATTATCAGTGTACATTCAATAAGTACATGGTTTTGAAAACAAACCAAAAAAACCCCCAAGCCACCCACATGGCATTTCACGGTTTATTTGTTATCTGTTTAAGGCTGGGGACTCTGTTAAGAGTATTAACAGAGTGTGTTAATATACAGTATGTAAGCACTCTAAGAAGGCCTTGCCATTGCTATGACTCCTTATCCCTTGTTTGTCTTACCAATGAGTTTATCTCACAGTGAAGCCTTACAAATTACCAAATGATATTTGGTATCTGGACAAAAGTTTGGTGATGTGTTATGGTGGAATCTGCAACTAGTTAAAGGCTAAACTGTCTCAGATGTGTTGTGATTTATGTAAATATACTGCCAGATTTCGTTAACGTAGCCCTTGAGAATAATTGGCAAATAATTTATTTTCTTAATGGGAGTTGTTTAACCAATGGGAACATAGATAATCTTCTTATACCCCCCAGACCTCGTGTTACATTTGATGAGATTTTAGAGAAGTCATGTGTAATACTTTCCTGTGGGTCGAGTCAGCTTATGTTACAGTTGTACAAGGTCAGACCTTAATTTATCTAGCAACTGTGTATTTAATTTTAGAAGTATCACAGGACACCTCAGCTTGCAGGGCACCATTCCTGGCTGTTCAAAATGCGAGCCTCAGAGTAACAGTGGGAAGATAATGGTTTGAAAAGGTGAGAATATGGTATGCTCGCCAATTAGACTAACAGAGAAATAGTTTATGACTGTAATATTTAATTCACTGAGTCCAAATTTAGATTGCTATTAATTATTTTATTGCTACGAATAACCTCTTTGCATGCCTAAAGGCCTTCTATTTATAGAGTGAAGCTAAGGTTGTCTAGTTTATTTTAAGGATAAGAAATTAGAATAACATTAACTCTCACAAAACTTCACATGTTTAAAAGCAATGAACACTTGATACACTTCTTTCCAAGGAAGGATGCAACTTCCATGATTAGCAAGTAGTTAATATTTTTTCCAATGAAAAAACAGTAATTTAGAGAGCAACATCAAGAAGTAATATCTAGTTTTTCAGTCATGAATGTAAAAAAAAAAATGAGAAAAATATCAGGCTACTCGAAATGTTGTTTAAGGAAAATATTCTTGGTAATACAAAAAGTAAAACTCCTTTAGAGTAAGCATTTGCAGTTGTTTCCAGTGATCTAGTGTATGGGTCTAACAATTGATAAACAGACAATGGAAGAAAATTTTGCTGCTACTTAGCCTTTTCATTGCCATGTAGCGTAGCAGGGATGTCTCTGCTGCTGCTCAGTGTACCAGCCATGCTGTTATGTTCCCCTGTGATCCATGGAGAACATCCACACTTCAGTCAGACCGTGTCACCTCAGCACAGTGTATTATCAGCAGTGATATAGCAAATCAGGCTCTCAAAGAGCGTATAGACCCCTGACAATGTGCCCAGCACTCGTGCTGTGCTGTTTGACTTTCACTCTACCCTGTCACAGTCACTTGCTGCCTTACTGACTTTCTCATTTTATAATATGTTTGTGGGATAAGATAATTTGAAAACAGTACACACAACTATTCTGAAACACTGCTCGTCTGAGACCTTACTGGTTAAATCTGTGTTCAAGAAGATCTTCGTGTTGCCTGTGACATAATCAGTCAGGGGGGTATAGCAAAGCAGGAGATAGCTGCCACATGGGTATGGAAATTATATGACCAGAGAAAAGTTTCTGTGATGGCCTCTAAACTAATTTATTCCTCTTACCTTTTGGAGAGAAAGGGGTGATAGAAAGGCAACACATTTTTTCTGAAAATAAATAGATTTTATCACTAGACAACTATAATGCTCAGTGCTCCTAACTGTTCTTGGAATCACGGATGTTGGAGGGTATTGATCATCTCACAGGACTAAACCATATGTGAACAGTATTATAGGGATACTGTAATATACTAAACCAGACTTATTTTCAGAGAGTTTGCAATGTGAGGCTCTGATGTAAGGCCTGTATAAGTCTTCAGGGGCCTTTTTGCTTCAGGCTCTAGGGTAAATATGTTACAATTTTTTCCTTAATAAATTATCTTATTAATAATAACCGTTATCTTTATAATAAATTAACTGTTCGTTTTCATTAGGAGCACCTCTTAGCTGCCAGTGAAATGTTAATGAATTCTAAAATGTACTTTCCTTTTAGTTGATGGGAGGCTGAGGTTGTAGGTATGTTTATTGAGATATACTTCTAAAACTGCTAGTCCAAGAGAGATTTTATCTTTGCTGTCTAAAGGGTTTGTGAGTCTTCAGAACAGTGTGTATTTGTGGATTAAATGATGGAAGCTTTCAAGTATCATCACAATTAGAAAAGTGCTTATGAAAATGAGAGGATAAATACATAAAAAACCCTTGACTCAGAATTCTCCTGCCTGTCAATAGAGCGCATAGCCCATGAGAGATGAGGGAGAGCGGTGTATGTATGTCCACACTGTGATGGCCAGTTCATCAGTCTAACTTACATGTTAAATCTTTTGGACTGTTGTGCTGCAGCCTTGATTAGAGACACAATAGGAAGGAAAAGAGAACCTTTCAGAAAAGCATTGTCTCTTATGAATAATATAAATCTCTGTTCTTCTAAGTCCCAAATGAAAATGTTTCTGTGAACATCCCTTTATTCATGGACTCCTTTTTTTTGTGTGTTCAGAGATGACACTCAAGACCAAAGTTGTATATTTTTTCCTTCAGAGAAAATGGGATTGAAGTGCACTTTTTTTTCTACTTTCCTTCAGATTTCCTTCCTTGCAGTTAAAAATCAGACCATGGTTCCAGTACATATTGAAAGCGGTGGGAAACCGTATTATGTGGGAATCGGAATCCAAGAGTTTCTGAGTCAATCTGACTGTAAGCCCTTACTAATTTAATTTTGGTTTGCAAGCTTTATTATAATATACTAAGTAATAAAGTATTTGTGAATGGGATTAAAATACTGGCTATGGTACTTTGATTGACTTACTGCTTACGAGAGCAATGTAGAAATTAATCTAAAAAGAAAGCTGATTAGTACTTTCCCTTGAGAATAATTTTCAGAAAATGTCCTCCAAATAACTTTTCCAATGTTCCTTCTCTCTTCGCAGAATGACTAGAATGCACTATGATGATTGTTCTGTGAAAAACATGCAACAGCTGCTTAGTATAATTGTTCAATATTTGTGCAACACTCTAATGAGAATTGTTCAGTGTGGTAGATACAGCACATGACTGCACAAACTCTGGGAGTAGTAGTTTAAAATTAAAAAATAAAAAAATATTCAACATCTGGTGTCCTCAGCCTGATTAAAGGACAAATGTGTTAAGCCATTAAGATTGAATCAAACAGAGAAACTGTCAAAACCCAAAGCTCACTTGGAAAAACCTAGGTAGGTACAGCTAGACATATATTAACTTAAGGGTTTTTTCCTTAAGTGTCTTTTACCATAGATAAAGACTACATTTTACACTTCAGAAACCTAGAAGGTTTTGTAGAAAGCAACATTCCTGACCTTCCAGTTAGTCAGAATTTGCTAGCAAGATGGTTGGTTGATGTGATATCACTAGTAAAAAGCATAGTGAATATAAGCCATAGTTAAAGTTGGTGATATGAGCAGACTGAATTTAAGTTGATGACTATAGTTAAAAGGTTTGATGTACTCTGTTACTAATCCACTGAGTGTTTCAATGACTCTCACGCCTTGAAAATAATAGCTGGCATGGCTTGACCATCACCCAAGCTTTTGTACCCAGTACCTGTGAATGTCCATTGAACTGCATGACTGCAGAAGCAGTGCAGAGACTGCAAAGTTCTTCATCTTTTTTGATAGGCCATGCCTTGGAAGTATAAAGATAAAGCTATATTTGTGAGTGTTTGTGGTTTGTTCAGGGGTATTTTTTTACATATTAGGGATCATTAAAAGTGATAATTAATGACACACGATGAAACCATTTTAGTGTACCACCTCATGAGGAAAATAGGAAAATTGTAACGTTCATGAAGCAATAGAAATAAAATAGTCCTTTTGCAAATATGATAAATATAATTTTTAAGGTCAAGTGTTTGAGCTTCAAGAACCTGTGAACCTGACATGTGCTTTGGAGGAAACTGATCATAGAGGGTGGTTTCCACTGCACAAGGCTGCAGCTTGGCCAATTCCACAGATACTTGCAGTCATTTTAGATGGCAAGTAAGGTAAAAATATCCCACAAGGTAAGGAGAGTAGCAAAGAAACATAGAGCAATAAACACAACAAAAGGCTAGAACTGTTTACTAAAAAAAGTATGGTCAAGTCCTCCAAGGAGCATCTTGCTTATGTTGTTTAAATGTTCAGGCAAATTTTCTGGTTTTGGAAAAGTTGCATCAATTTACACCAGCAAATAACTTGGACCATTTTTAACATTTTGTTCAGAAACCAACAAAGAACACAAAAATTACTATGTAATATTCAGTGTGTTTGGCAATACTTGCTAGGTTAACATAATTACAGGTGCTTTTCATAGACTTAGTGTTTAAGGATTTCTGATTTATCTGTGTTAACAGCCTTGTGCTTTAATTTTTTCTTATTTTTTTCCCTTTATTACCTCTTATGAAACAATGTTGGAATACAAAACATGCAATGGAGAAACAGCATTAGGCTTGACAGCAAAAGCTGGCTTTGTGGAAAATGTGTGAATGTTACTGGAAAACAGTGTTTATCCCAATACCTCAAATTACAAAGGAGAAACTCCACTTCTTATTGGTAATTGCCTCCTCTCTCTGGGTTTAAGCAACGTGAATGGCAGCACTTCCTCTCTGTTACGTACTCATCCCAGTACTCCCCTTGGCTTGCATGGTTTAGATGCTGGTCATCTTTTTAGATGAAACTAAATGCCCAGCACCTGGTGAAATGTACCCAGTGTTCAGTTCAGCACTCATCATACTTTAGGTGATCACCAGGCTGATCTTAAACATGCTTCTTCTGTTTTAGGTGATTGCTGAACTGCTGAGAAAATGGGACCTACTTTTTGTTTAAGGTGCTTTCTCTGTATCTTCAGATGCTATAAGACCTTTACCAACGTGGTCCTGTTTAACCATCTTAAGGTACAAGAACAGTACAAGAATAAGCCATTGTTTTGCCTTTGAGTTTCAAATTTGCCACAAGAAATATTTCTTGTTTTAGTAAAGTTTTAACTTAAATACATCTGAAAATGAAGAGGAAAGTACTCTGGGTTTGCTTTTATGATGATCTACAAATCACTTTGGATATAGGTTCTGTATCCTCCTTCAGTGTGGAGATGTCCAGGCCTTAGCAGATGATCATGCATCAGTACTGTTTAAAGTAGCTGGAGGAGGTAATCCAGACTGCATAGCCCTTCTTTTGGAATATGGAGGAAGGGGTAATGTGCATAATGAGGCCAGACTGCTTCCCATACACAAAGTGGCTTATTAGAGATTTAGCAAGGAAGTTTTAAGAAATCATGAGGCAGGATTCTGGAATTTCTCTTTCTTTCCTAACTAATGGAGTAGATATGTTTCCAGAGAAATATCTCTATTGAACAAAACAGTGTCAAAAATTGCAGCAATATTTTAATTTTTTTTTTTTCGTTCAGGCCCGTTTGCCTAAATTAAGCGTTCACAAAGATTACAAGTCAAAGAAAATGGCTTTTAAAGTAACATTCCTAGGCATCATTTTATGACTGTTGAAGGTCACTGCTAAAACTTTGTTTAAATTATCTTGTCTAATTGCTTTAAAATGTATTATTTTGGCATTTTTCTGCACAGATTTTGAAATTACGACTTGATATGTTGTCTCTTTCAGTTCTGTTAGTCTATCGTTGTTCCTTGATTGAAACATTTAGCAGAAAAAGTGGTTTGTGTTTTTATAGATTGCATGGATTATGTTCCTTCATGCATAAGAATGAAGTTTTTTCTAGAAACAGAGGAAGAAGGGACAGAGATACATCAGATTGGGTAAATGTCTAACTTCCTGTTAATAATGTTATGATTAATTATAGGAATTATGATTAATTATAGGAAACTTAAATTGCTTATGTCAGCTCACATTCATCCAAAGTGTTTAAGCAGTCCAAATATGTAGTAGCTAAGAACCAGGTTGTGCCTGTCATCCAGTCCTTAGATTGATGTGATCTTTGCCTATTACCACTGGTCATAAATTAGTTAATTGGACTGCAATATGGCAAATGTGCTCCTGGTGCAAATTAATCTTGTAAGGAATTTAGGGCCATGATTTAGTGGTGGACTTGTCAGTGCTATGTTAATGGTGGGACTTGATCTTAAAGGTCTTTTCCAACCTAAATGATTCTATGAGTCTATGAATGTCACTGTTGTATGGGAAGCCTTTTTAGTTAAGCAGGGCCACTGAGGCCACTTATCAAACTCCTTATTAACTGACATAACACTCCTCATTGCACAGCTGTAGGGCACAAAGTTTTTTTATTGAGGAATATTGCTCCCACTTCCATCCTTCTTTTTGCTCTCTTGATCTCTCAAGTCTATTAATTGTTCAAGGATTCTTATAAGGCATGTTTTAGATCCCTTATGTTCAAGGTGGTACATGGTGTGCAATCACCATGTGTAGCATAATTTCCTTACTTTGATTTACACAATAGACAATCTAGAGTTGCCATTATTAATACTAATTGACTATTGTCAATTAGTCAATTGACTAATTGACTGTTTCTACTGGGTGCTTTAATTTTGAATCGTCTACCATTGGTTGTACCAGAGATAGATTTCACCAAACTTAACTTAAAAAAATAAGTTGGGGAATGTACTAAATGTTCTCTTTGCACACATCGATTTTATTTGACTTTTAAAATAATTTTAAATAGAACTTGATTTAACATCAGCTGTTAAAAAACATATTTAGGTTCAAAACTGGTACTCTGTATTTTGTTTTTGCTTCAGTATTTTTCATTGGCATGCCGAGGAACTGTTTTTTGTCAGTGTCACAGGAACATCCAAAGAATTTGGTACTCTTCACTGCTGATATTTCAAGTATGGTGCAAGTTTTTTGACGTTCAGGAAGGCTAAGTTAAATGAAATCTTTGACTGATATCAGTAGCAGAAGTATTTGTTCAGCATACTCAGCAGGCCCAAGGATGGTAAGGTCTGGTCCTGCTGCCTTATTGATACAGCAGAAGTAGAAAATGCTGTGGCTGTCCTCAACATGCAACTTTTAAAAGGTGCACCTAGGGAAAGGAGAGATTGTTCACCAGTGTGCATATATCCAAAAGGGAGACAATAATGTTGAGCAGATATCTGACAGAAGATGTTTGATTAATATGGGCATTGTGTGTCACCACAATTCTGAAGTTGAGTGGTATTTTATTCAGAAGTAACAAAATAATAATGCCTCAAGGTAATAGATTTTTATGTTAATTTTATTAGAGCATATTTTGAGATTGTGAACTAGCTTACAATCATTGTCAATGGCATTCATTTTTCCACCATTTTTCTCTGACTTCTTTAGATAATCCTTTCTTTTTGGAACATCTGTGTCGTCTGAAAATATGTAAAGTCATGGGGTTAAAGAGACCCCAGAAACTGTCATCCATGAAGAAATTTCCACTTCTACCAGTTCTCAAGAACTTAATTCTATATAAAAAAAATATGATCTGTATGGAAAATGGATGTATTTAGAATAGTTTTTAAAAATAACTGTATACAGTCTGTAATTTGACTAATTTCTTCATTTTTTTTATGAACTGAAGAACTGTTTGATGTTTCATATACCTTCCCAACATTCTGATTTTTTTTGTTAGTTGTTCTTTTATGGGAACAAATTTCTTTTCAAAATTAAAATGTTAAAACTCATGTTTTAACACAATATTGTTCTAACCAAATATAGGCTAAATCAGAATACGGATATTGTAGTAATTATGTATAACAGTGTATTCTAAATGGGAATTCAGATGAATAAATGATAAAAGAAGAATTTTCATGATGGACTTCCAAATGAAGATGAGAAATATGGTTGCTGCTCTCCATTAGTGGCATTCATTTATCTGTAACAAAAAATAAATGTCTAATTTAGCTTGGCAAAAAAAAAAAATCACTAAATGCACATTTCTGTCATGTAATTGGCCTGAAATATAGCACATTTTGTACTTTGAAGATCATAGTCCTGTAAAAAATTCATTAAACACTTAAAAGGTCTTTTTGCCAAGTGTTAGCTCCTGGCTACAACTGCTGTGTGTGCATGATTCAAGGCTTGGCAAAATTTGAGGGACTTTAAGTAGGCTCTTTTAAAGAAAGAGTAGATTTTGATGGGCAATCGAACCAGGAAATCAAGTAGCATATCCCCTTGGTTGAGAAATACTGTAACTTTAATAATGGTTCCTTCAGAGTTTTGGCAGATCACTTCTTTATTGACCACACTAAACAACACTCTCAGTGATGTTGTGGTACACTTCAAAGTATTCTTCTGCACATTAGAAAAAAATCTAATAGAATAAATTTAAAGAATATTTAATTAAAAATTGATTGCAGTTACTCCCTTTGTTCTACCACCCCTTTCATCTTGAGGAAAGAAAAAAGAATCCAAACCCTCTAAACTAAGAAAATATTACAGTCGGCAGATGTTAAGATTACATAGAGCATAGTCAGTTTAGCTAAACACAGCATCAAGTGTTTTGGTTGGAAGGGACCTTAAGGATTATCTAGTTCCAACCACCCTACCATGGCCAGAGACACCTTTCACTAGACCAGCTTTCTCAAAGCCCTGTCTAACCTGGCCTTGAACAGTTCCAGGGATGGGGCAGCCACAATTTCTCTGGGCAACCTGTTGCTTAAGAGATATGCTGGTTATCACACACATACATTCACACAACCCAAAGGTCAGCTTCAGTATGCTTCTGCCCTGCTCCCTACACTGGCTCTCCCTGTTCTTCAGAACTTCTCCCTATTTGCTGGATGCCATTGTCATATAAAACTTATTAACTTCTGAGTCAGAGATATAAATTCCATTTCCAAAGGCAGCTATATCAGTCCTTTGTGTGTCCGTCCCTCCTCACAACAGATTTACTGGACCAGATGGAAGGAGTGAAAATTACTGGTCTAGGACATATAGGAGTTTGAACAGAAATCTTAATTCCTCCTTGTGCTCTCAGAAGGGCTACTATTCAGCTGGCTTTCAAAGTCATATCCTCTGGTTTTTTGCCAGAAATTTTGATCAGGATGAAAAAGAACAACTTGGTCATTTGTGAAAAACTTCTAGGTATCTGGCGTGTGGGCCCAGCCTCTGACAGGATGATGCCCCTTGTGACTGGTGACTGCAGGCATAGCCTGAGCATAGAGAGCCCAGTGGACCCAACACAGCTGACTCCAAGTCAAGGATCCACTGACCAATACATCCTGGACATACCAGGCTAAATGTGTGTGTGCTTCATAACCTATAAACTGATATTTCTGTGTGGGAATTTCTAAACAGAAATATGGGCTTAATGACAATTGTGGTAATTTTAATGAATACATTGACCACAATGCAAGAGTCTGGGTAATTGCCTATTTGATATAGTGTACTGCAACCAGCAAAGGAAACATGATCAAATAGGGCTTTAGACAGGAGATTTTAAACCCTTTCTGTGACTAGAGCCAAATTCCACTAGTAATTTTAGTCCACAGGCAAAGGTTTATATTTAGGACTTTATACACACCTCAGGCCCTAGTTACATTGCCTGCAGCATCAAAGCATTCAGATCTAGGACTGAACATTACCCTAAGTGTTTAAAATACCATGAACTAGTCTTTTGAATATCATTAGGTAAGGTAAAAAGACGTGGTATTGTTGTGTTTATCTTTTTACCAATACATCTGGGCCCTTTTTGTTGTTTAGTAACCTGATATAGAAGGTGGCCTAATCCTGGTTTAGAGCTTCTCTGTCATTCACAGTTGAAGCTCTGTCATTCAAAGTTGAAAACTATTCTAAATACATCCCTTCACCATACAGATCATATTTTTTATATAGGATTAAGTTCTTGAGAACTGGTGGAAGTGGAAATTTCTTCATGGATGACAGTTTCTGGAGTCTCTTTAACCCCATGACTTTACATATTTTCAGACAACACAGATATTGAAGTTAAGTTGAAGCTTAATTTACTGAAAACTTCCCCCAGCCCTCCCTCCCCTCACCACAGATGCTAAAGGAATTACAGCATTATGAGAAAGTGTCTTTCGTGTTTTCGAGGCATCTGTGAACTCACATGTTATCAAGGCATCTGTGAATGGAGGTAGGAGAAGCAAGACTTTATTTTAAGTGGAATATGAGGTGAGAAAGTCATGGAAAGGGAGCTGTTTTCCCCAGGTCGTGTTTATGGTACAGCTAGGAACTGAACATGGGTCTTTTGACTCCCATATTTTGCAGCCAGACCACTGAATAATACTTTTATGTACTTGACTATGTGGTGGTAGGAGCAAGAAATGTAACTGGACCAGAACTGGTGATTGTGCAAAACGAGGCAAAAGCATCAGCCCCAGCTGGAAGAATAAATTGGTAGGAAAAAACTACTTTTTATTTACCCTGCTTAGACTGTGATTGAACCCTTGCAACACTGGAATTTAATTTTCTCTGCTATTTGGGTGTGTCTCACAGGGTGTTCCACGGCAACCCAATTCCATGGCATGCCCCCCGCCGGGTGATGTTGTCTAGAAGTAATTAAATGCTCTGGCACCGATTCAGGCGTGCTCAGGGGCAGGGACTCCTATGGATTTGAGGACAATGTTTGAAATCAGAGGTATCATTTGGTCTCTGTTTCTCATAAAATCTGACACAAGCAGCTGCAGGAGACAGATGAGCTCTCCAAGAAGCCAGACATTCAACAGTGGTTACATCAGCCTTTGCAGCACCCATGGGATGGACTTTGTAGCTGTCAGTGTTTTCATAGCTCAGTGAAGGAAGAACCAAACCATAGCCATGAGTCCTGTATATGACCAGCTGTTCACTGTAGGGGCCATAATGTCTTGCAGGTTATCCATAAAACTCCATGCACTGGCTAACCATCAAATTTTGGCAGCTCGCATGGCAGAGCCTGTTCTGGGTATCAAGGTGATGGGAGTACGGTGAAGGGGTGGGCAGCAATTTTACTGTTTAGCTGCAGCAGTCTGTGCTCTGGCACAGGCTCTTAGTGCCTGAGCTGCACTTTCTCAGACTATTGCCATTAGTACAAGAGTCACATGTGAAAGAACAGTCACAAAGTCACAAGCTCTTTTGTGTCTGCTGTGAGGTAGAGCAAAGGGATTTTTTCTGACACTTACTTGGGACAGAAAAAAAAGCCTTCTAAAATATCCAGCTGTTTGGCTATGATTTGCAAGGAGAAAAGTGACATAAATTCATGATCATTTATCTCTTGTAGAATAAGTCTTATCTCTTACTTTCCTTTCACTCCCAGGGGCTAGAGCACAAGTCTTATGAGGAGCAGCTGAGGGAGCTGGGGTTGCTTAGCCTGGACAAAAGGAGGCTCAAGGGAGGCCTTAATGCTCTCTACAGCTGCCTAGAAGGAGGTTGTAGCAAAGTGGGGGTTGGCCTCTTCTTGCAGGTAACAAGTGACAGGACAAGAGGAAATGGCCTCAAGTTGTGCTGGAGGAGGTTTCGATTGGGTATGATGAAAAAATTTCTCATAGAAGGCATTGTAAAGCTTTGGAACAGGCTGCCCAGGGAAGTGGTGGAGTTACCATCCCTGGAAGTGTTCAAAAAACATGTAGATGTGGCACATGAGGACATGGTTTAATGGTGAACATGATAGTGGTGCTGGGTTGATGGTTGGACTTGATGATCTTAAAGGTCTTTTCCAACCTTAACAAGTCTATGGTTCTGTAATTTAATATGCATCTAATCAACAGCTTCTTACCCTCACCTGTGTCTTCTGTGGAACCAGCGTTGCCTGTCTGGTATACTCTTCCACTGCTATCATCTCCTGCTAAATCAGTCCTTTTAAAGCCTTCCCCCTACTTTTTTATTTCATGTGAGCCTTAGGACCTCTGCTCAGGAAAATTGTATCAAGAAAATTAATTTCAGGCAAAGATTCAGATTTTAAGCCTTAATGGTCCTATTATGCTTTTTTTCCCCCTGTCCTTTCTACTGGAAGTTGTTTGTTTAGGCTGCAGTAATTAAAAATGGCACCTTGCCACTCAAGATGTCTGTCCTTCAGCATCCACTTCTGTGCCCTACGGATAAAGATCTTAGCTCAAAAATACACTATCTGTTTCCAAATGCATGGAGCAACTTCAAAGAAATCCAGCCCTACTCATTACCAGGACAAAAGCTGCATCTGAAAGAAGTGCATGGGAAAATGCACAAAATTGCTGTATAAATATTTAAAGATATATATTGCAATGGGAATAATTTTCTGTCCCTTAAGTGTCACTCACACCAGGAAAAGAGGTACTTGGATCAGGAGAAATATTCCTCAAGGAACTCGTGTTTGGTGGTTCTGAAAAGCTATAAAAATATATTAATGAATGTTTAGTAATCATAGGACTGCTATAACAGTGTAGCTCTGGTGACATGTACAATGTGTTTACATTTAATTTTAAAAATTAAAATTTTTTGTAGAAATCTTTACATTTGATTGGGCAAACCCATTGCCTTTTGCCCACATATTCTGTATATGGTAGATATAGTGCCCAGAACTCCCACTGTCATTAATATGGACTAATAAAAAAAAAAAAGGCATAATTAAAGACAGTAAAGTAGAGAATTTACCTGGTTAGTACTGCTGCTTGTATTTAATTCCCTATGA